ATAATGAGCTGATTGAGCAAAACAGCTCTTTAAAATGTAAAAACTGAGTAAGTAGGCAAGTTCCTTGAATGGAAAGCACAAAGATTAATAACATAAAGTTGGATGTTGTCTTAGGCTTCAACGGGTCCAAAGTAAACAACTTGCAGGTCCCTGAGGAGGAGCTAATCAGTGATCAGCTAATCAGCTAATCAACCCCACTAAGCAGAAGGACTTTGTAAATGTCAAAAACAAATCCCCTTTCCCCCCGTTTTCCCTAACAAAACATGTTCCTGCTTGACCCCCAGAGTGCTTCCTGTTTTCCCTGAATTGAATATTTGTGTGTCAGAGTTTTATTTATTTATAATTTTTTTTATGTTTTGCATGTATTAGTGTGCTGGGAAAGCAGCTTTTGTTCTGTATAAGTGAGCGTGTCCAGTACCAGGTAATTACAGGAGAGACGATATAGAGGGAGGGATGAGTTGCCATGGACACCTGGTGGAGCATGACAGTGTTGCGTGTTACTGGATGTAGACAGGGTTAAAGCCATGGGTCAAAGGCATAACAGACTGTTAACAGGAACTGTATGAGGGGGAAAGTGCATCTTTGCTTTTGAAAATTAAAATTTTGTTCAAAGACATGGCTGACATGTCTACATACGTGTGTGTTGTTTTTGTTGTTGAATGGGAGCAAAGAAAGCAAATCTTCAGTTCAAGTTAGGTCTTCCAGATCTGACAACTGAGATTAAATTGTGAAGAACTGAAGACTGAGGTGAAAGCAATGTGACAAACTAGAGGGATCCAATTGACCCGATGAAAGTGAAAACACACAAACAACTGAGAGTTCATGACCACCAGCTGAGCATCGATTCCTTTCTTTACTACACCTTTTCTCTACTTATGAGAAGAACATCCATCTTTTCTCTCCCTTTACGTATATAAGATCTCTGATGGCAATTATTTACTGATTCTAAGAAGTTAGTAAATAATCTTTATATATAAAAAATGTCCAAAATGTGTTTTCTTATATTAATCCTAATTGCACTCATACTTTGATTTCAAATGTATTATGGAGTTTTTAATAAAATTTTAATGGTTACTTAATAGGTGTATTTTAAACTGTGACTCGGCTTGCTAAGTACCTTTAAATAATAGAGTGCACTTTCTGTCTCACTGTAATTATCATCATGCAGTTTTGCACCATCAGTCAAAGGTTAGGGTTCAAATCTGCTGAGTCTAATCAAGTCCTGACAGGCAAATTATTTTACTGCATCCCTTTCTCTGTTTCCCCTCAACTCTTGCTGCTTTTATTGTAGAAAGACGGTGCCTAATCACATTTTGTTCATCAGCACTTTTTTTAGCAGGGTTTACTGTATATTACTGGTTAACTTGACCTGTCTACAAACCTGGAGAATTTCAGTTTCACAATACAGGAATTGGTTTCCTCAGATTTGTTTTTGAATGTATGGATATTATGCAAAATAGATTATTTAATTTATTTTATTTTTTAGCTTTGTATCATGTTATAATGCCATTCTCTCATCAAAACATACATTGAGTGTTGCTTTGACTCATTCCTGCATGTTTGAGAAAACTCTTGAATGTTGTAGCCATGTGGAGCTGCTTATATGCCTGCTGGTACAATGTTCCACCTATTTACACAAAGMTCCTCCCTGGAGCTCAGTCTGCAGCACTACTCCCCCGAAGCATTGTTGTGAAGTGCTGAAGTGGGAGTGTCTGAAGCGGTAGGAGGTTCTTAAAGAGACAATTTCAAGGCATTTAGATAGACAATGATGCCAAGTCAAATGTATTTTTGATGTACAGCTTTTTCATAACAACTGAAGGTAACACAGTTGATTGTGGTATACAGTAGATTAGAACTATGTGCCTGGAAAATACTGTACATACAGATACTGTTCATGCTCTCACTCAGAGGCGTCTAGGATTAGCCTGTTAAAAAACTATGGAAGGGAACCAAAGAGGGACAGAACCCACTGACTAAATTTATAAGATGATGATTTTCACTCATCTACCACTCTCTGTTTTCTATGCAAATGCAACCAGAGGAAACATTCCTCGAAGGTATCTTGTTCTTTGAGGAACTATCCAGTTTCCACACCATTTGATCTGAAAGAAGTCATGATCAGCAGAATCCTCTTCAAAATGTTCACTTTGGTTGTTAGAAGGTCAAACTTTCCGGCTGGTTCAACATCAGACACTCTCATCCAGGAGTAATTGATCATACATGGTTGGAGTCATTGAGGCAGATGCACATTTCTATTCTACTGAACAGAAACTAWATTAAAAGTGCCCTTTATATTTTTCTTAGATTAATTAATCTGTGAAAAGATGCTGCACCTACATCATATAGCATGCTGTGAGCATAATAACTTATATTAAACTTCACAAAAGCTTTCTGGTTTTCCTTTAATTAAGATGATGAAAACTTAACATTCTGATGACACGACATTATTGATGTTTGTATAAAATGTCAAACTTAATGCAAGCACAATTTAAATACTACTGAGAAAACCTTTGTTACATGCAAAAAAGCAAAAAAGCTTCTGACCACATCAGTTTTATGAAACAATCAGAGCAAAAGGTTATATTAACAAGAACAACTAAAATTTATTGCTTGTTTTTTGTTGCTAACATTTTACCACCTGCTCCTGTATCACCCACTTTGACTTGTGCCCACTCCTTATTTCCTGTCAAATCTCAAGCTTCTCGTTATTATTATTTTTTTCTCTTCTCAGTTTGTTGCTCATCCCAACTGCCAGCAGCAGCTGCTGACTATCTGGTATGAGAACCTGCCCGGCCTGAGGCAGCAGTCCATTGGAGTGAAATGCTGGACAGTGCTGGGGGTAACAATAGGTCTTCCCTTCCTGGCTGTCGCCTACTGGATAGTGCCATGTAGCAAGGTATGTGTGTCCATGATTGTACACAGACAGGCACGGGGTGAAAAAAATGTGTTAGGGGTGACTCTCAGCTACTAACACACAACATTATAGCTCAGTATGTGCCATATTTATTTAGTTAGTAGCTGTGTTTCCATTGACCATGAAAATGCACAAATTAGAATTTCGAAAATAAATTTGCTCAATGGAAACACGTCACTTTCGAAAGAAATTACGTTTTTTGACTAAATGTTTTTGCGCTAGGATGAGGTGGTATTTCGGCCGTATCGAAATTGGTGTTTTTCGCAAAAACTGCAATGGAAACACTTTTTTCGCATCACTGGAGTCACGTGATCAACAACCGGCTGTTTCTACTGGCGAAAAAGACGATGACGAAGAAGATAACAGGAAGTAGAAATAGTAGTAAAATCATAGAAGTAGTATAAAATAGTAAACTCACCGACTACAATTTCCCAAAAACACAGCATACGTAGCCGCTCCCAAGTAGGGACT